CATAAATGAGAAGACAGAAAAAAAAAAAAAAAAACAGTTTTTCAAAAAAGAAATTAGGGGGATTAGGGGGACTTTTTTTAGTGCTACAAAGCATTTTCCTTTTTTAATTTTTTTAGATCATGCTACTTCCAATTTACTTGCCAAACGGCAGCTAATGAACACGCCTTCACACTGGCGACAATAGTTTTAATTCTCCAAGCGTTCTTCTCATGATCCTACTAATCATTTCCTTATAACCGCAAACCTTCTAGAAGCTTTTTATGCGTGTGTTTTGCAAATTTTAAATTCTCATAACTTCAATTTTGTTATCCAGTTTTGAATAAGATTCAACTTATTTGGTTTTAGTTTTTTTTGAAGAGAAATATTTGGGACTCCCTTTTTTTAAGGTTTCATGATCCCTAATTTGATGTTAACTCTTGATGTGTGTGTGGGGTCTACTTATATATGTGTGGACTCTACATTATGAGGGGGTGGGAAGAGAGTGGGGGTTGTGAGAGTCATGCATGTATGGGGTCTCTATCATAATTGTTTTTTGAAGACACTTTTTAAAAAATTCTATCTTTTCATATTTTTTTATTATTTTTACTGAATTGTTTTAATATTTTAAGCATTTTTTTGAATTTTTAGACATACTTAACATAAATACACTTAAAAAATATAATATTTGTGAATTTTTTTCCCTATTTTTGTGTATTTATTAATTTTTTAAAATATTTTTTCACAAATATTTTATTTTTAAAATAAATCTAAGTATGGTGCATTTAAAAAAGTAAAAAAAAAAATGTTTAAAATTTTAAAAATATTTTCTAAAAACAAAAAGACACGAAAAATAAAAAAAAACTCAATTTTTAAAAAATTTAGTTCAACAAACAGAAATCAAACACACTCATTTATACTTTTGGTATCCTCAAAAAATTTATACTTTTGGATTCGCTTTTATAAAATCTTTAAAGCAAGCTCCATGTTGAATATGGAAATAAAAAAAATATAAAATATAAAAGGATAGAGGGATATATCTCAAGTTTAGCAGTGCACTTTTAAATTAAAAATAAGGACAGATAGATCTATTTCGAGTCTATTTGTGCACTTTAAACCCATATGGGGCCATTTGTGCACGTTTAAATTAAAAATAAATAAATTAAAAAAAATAGCGAAAACCAATAGTTCTATCTGGAGTCTATCTATGCACTTTTAAATTAAAAAAGGAGGATAGATAGGTCTATTTGGGATTTATCTGTCCACTTTAAATTAAAAACCGGGAAAAAATATTTCTATGTATGCACTTTAAATTTAAAAAATTGGGACAGGGTCTATGTGGCATCCATCTGTGAATTTTTAAATTAAAAATGAGAATAAATAGGTCTATATGTGATATATCTATGCACTTTTAAAGTGAAAAATGTGAACAAATAGGTTTATCTACTATCTATTGTGCTATTTGTGCCTTATATATGCCTATCTATGCGTTACCTATGCTATCTGTGCACTATCTGGGCACTTTGAAATATTTTCTAAATTAAAAAAATTGTAGACAAACATATATATGTTTGCTTTACAAATTAAGAAAAGGAGTTTGATATTTATATGTTGCAGAAACTTCAATAGGGCATAATTTTGTGCTCATTAGTCCATTTTTGAGATATTTGTATTTTGATTTTATGTATTTCTTGTGAAACCTATCCGTTTGAAACGAATAGAGGTGGTTTCGCTTACTCATTTTTTTCCCAAAAAAAAAATATTATTTTTTGACTCTCAATTTATACTTTTTTCGCATAAACCATCTAACATTAGACCAAAAAATCATGTCATTTGGTCCATGGTGAGGAAAATTGCAATTCTATTGTGTTGATCTATAGTTTTTATGATACTATACATAGTTGCATTGTCATGATATTCTTTGGCCTTGACATGCTTCGAAATAGATCTATTCGTTATTTTTTTATCGGTCTATTTGTTGATTTTTTTTTTTTCCATTTTTAATATTGATCTTTGTTTAAAGATCTTGAAACGACTAACACAAAAATATTAATTTTATTAAAAATTGATATATGTAGTTAAAGTTATAACATTTTAATTTTTTTTTAACACTACACATAAAAAGGAAAATATGTCAAAAAATTTCTTTGCCATAAAATGTTTAGACTTGCCAACCAAAAAGTGTTGTGCATGTCATCTTCTGTTGGAAATCATATTGAGTAATTGAAGGAATTTAGCTTTGTTATATTAAACTACACAATCAGTGGGTTAGCCATGATTGTAGCTGTTAGCATATTATATGTTAGTGCTATGTTAGTGCTACTTTACTCATTATGTTAGTAATGCTTTCATCATTAATGTTTTCTCTTTCAATATCCTCAAAAGGTTGTATGAACATTAACAGAAAAGTAAAAGTCACGGACCAGATCTTGTTCAAATTAATGCCTCGGTACTTTGGCAGTATCTTCGCTCCCTGGAGTAGCCATGCAATATCTAAGGCCACCTGTTCTTTTGACAACTGTCACAGAGCCAAACAAATTGAAAAGAATTGAGTGTGCCACAAAGTGGGGAATGAAAAAGGACATATCAAGAGGGGAGAGATGCAAGGATTACATATATATATCAACTGAGAATAATCCATCAATGAAAAAAAGAAAAGAAAAAGAATCCATGGCCAGAAATGAAAACAAATATGTTTTTCCCTTTTGTAGATCAGGAAAAAGAAAGTATATAAATAAAAAATCAACACGAAAGAAAAATAATTGATGTTGGGAGGGGGTGCTAAGAACTGAATTAGTCTTGGATTTTCATGAAATGCAACCAACAACGATTAACTAGCATTTGATACTTCTTTTATGTTTTAAATGGACCATCCGAAGTATCATTAATTCTTCTTTGATGCTAGAAACGCAACCACTACAAGGAGTACATACATTAGCTCGTTCTTGCCGAATATTGCTTCGATAGTGTCACCCTCCATCTCAAAAAATTCAAGCAGCACTAATACAGATGTAAATGCGGCCTTGCCCCCAGAAGCAACTTCTTTTGTTCATTGTAGGATGTGGGTTTCTACTCCTCACAAATTAGTGCTCCATCTTACTTAAGATATATTGGTGGATAGATATGCGTCCATTTGAAGTAGAACCATCTCTGATCTGAGACTTGAGTAGAGCCACCTCTTCCCTAGCAGTCATCAGAAGAACAGCCAGTTCTATAACATTTCCTTCCTTTGCATAGTGACAAATTTCTAGCTCAGCTTCTTTCGTGTTCAATACAAGCACCCTGATAGAATCCATCTACTTTTTCTGCAGGAATGTTAATGTTCAAGATCAGCAAGCTTCGCAAAATTTCTCATCAACGCCATCACACAATTTTTTGAACTATTGAAAGGGTAAAACATTAATTCTTTGGCAACCGTTTAAGTGAAAATGCAGTCAATTGATTAGAGAGAGAGAGAACCTCTATGACCATGCTCAGCCCTACAAGCAACTCAAAGAAAGGTTTTCTAGGATTCCACATCTCAAAAAATATTGATGACCAGGAAAACAGAGCTCTGGCCACACACACACACACAAAATAAAATAAAATAATTCTCAAAACTGAGGGGGTGACCCCCTCGTCCTTCTTTCTCTCCGCCACTGGTTGTGCCAATATTTACCAAATATGTGCGGTAAAAAATGCACAATCTTTTTAAATTTTCTTACTCAATATCAAAATACTCATTAATAAAATATAAAAATATATACACATTACAAAATAAATAACTAAATAAATTACGCGTCTTCTCAAGTTATGGGAATTCTAAAATAGCATCATAGTTTTCAAATAGTCACATAATGAATTGTACAAACGGTCCTTATGCAAGAAAACATATCAAAAACAAAAGTAAACAATAAAATTAAACCACAAACAAATCTGAATTAAAAATATTCCTTCTACGAACGAATAATATTGAGAAAACTCTCCATTTTTATTAATCAAATATCAACCATATTGCCCTAAGACTTACCTCTTTATTTGTACTAAAAAAATTCTTACTAATCAAGAAATCTAAAAGAGGAAAATAAATATTTTTGGTAGTCAAGAATATTTTAAAAGGAAAATACAATATTAATAAAAATAATTCTTGTGATCAAATAATCCTATTCTTGTAAAATAAGAAAATAAACGAAGTAGGAAACTTAAATAAATAAATAAATAATTAAAAGATCCTAGTCTAATAAAATAAAATATATAGTTTTTAAATTTCAACCTGTATCGATTGATGCAAGGAAGCAGAGCAAACAACAAGATCAAACCATGAATAAATCCAAACTAGAAATACTCTCTCTACGAACGAATAATATTGAGAAAACTCTCTATTTTTATTAATTAAATATCAACCGTATTGTCCCAAGGCTTACATCTTTATTTATGCTAAAATAATTCTCACTAATCAAGAAATCTAAAAAAACAAAAGATATATTCTTGCTATTCAAGAATATTTTAAAAGGAAAAAGATTGGAGTTACTCTAAGCCATATCCAAAATAACTCTTAACCATATGATTAAGTGAACGTAGGTTATGTTAGCCCAACCAAGTTAAACTTGACCATTCCTCATGGTGACGATTTTTTTGGTTCTATATTTAATTTTTTGCCCAACATTTATTTTTTGGATAATAATTACGTCAATATAATAATAATAATAATAATAATAATAATAATAATAATACACCAGCTACATCTACACATTTTTTATAGTTTAAATTCACATATTTGAAACTCTCATTGGTAAGAGTCTCATTCGGACAAATTAAGACGAAAAAATTGTGTGGATGAATCATTAATCATAATACTTTCTCCGTCCCAAAATATTAGTCCCTTATTTCATTTTTTATTGTTCCAAAATATTAATTCCTTTTCAAAAATCAAGGAATAAAATAATATGAATTTATTATTTGGCCATTCTTTCAAATTTATTAATAACACAAAAAGTACAATTATGACAATTGATATTAAAAAAAAAAAATACTATCAAAAGGTAATTTTGAAAAATTAATATTTTTAAATTGTAATAATTGTACTATTAAAATAATTTAAATTCTCAAAATGTACTATTATTTTAAGACAGATGGAGTAATAGTAATAATAATACCTCGCGAATTGAGCGAGTGGTCCCCCGGTAATTGAGAGCAGCATCTAAAGCGGTAAAGCCTTCGCCATTCTTTATCTCTAATCTGACTCTCTTGTCCCATGTCAAAATGCTCACTATCTCAACATGAGCTTTCTTTGTGGCCAAAAGCAATGGGGTGTTTCCATCTTGGTCTGCGTCATTGATAAGCATCTCAAGCTCAGGGGCTTTAAGTATATAACTAACAATGTTGGCTTTCCCACTCTTAGCAGCAACGTGAAGAATATTTTGTCCTTGTCTATTTAGCAACTCTTTTGAATCTGGAAAACGTTGTAGAAACTCCTTAACAACTTCAATATAACTAACAATGTTGCCTCATGAATGGGATAAGACCCATTACCGTCTCTTTTGTATGTGCAACCGATAATGGTATTCAGGATGATGCAAACCCCATCAACATAACCTCTGGATGCTGCATACGAAAGAGGTCTCCTCCCTCTTCTGTCATGTGCATCCATAAGAGATGGCACATAGTTCAATGCTATCAGAAGAACAGCTGCAAATTTTTTTTTTTTAAAACAAAGATTTAGACCCCAATTCATTAGGAAATAAAAATAAAATAAAATAGAATGCAACATCACTAGGAGGAGGAGTCAGTTTTAAGCTGAACCAAATTAATAGCATTATGGTTAATTGTTGAATAACATTTAAATTAACATAGAATAGCTCACTTTACTGGAGTAACATGCAATTATAAATCAACAGCTATGTTATACAAAACAGCATGTTGTATACAAAGAAATAAATAGTGGTAAAAGATTGAATTACCCTTGTTCCTTCTTGTAATAGCAACGTGCAGGAGTGGTTGGCCATCCTTGAGCATATTTTGAGCGTCAACATTCGAAGCAACGAATTTCATCATAAGCTCAAAGAGCTCCTCATGCCCTGCTTCGGCGGCCATATACAAGGGTGACTTTTTTTCCAGATTCAGAGAACATGAAATTAATGCACTTCCAGCCCGCTTAAACAACAACTCAGCCACCCCGTATTGATGAGCCTTTACGGCCATATGCAATGGAGTATTCCCTTGTTTATTTTGCCCGTTTATGACATTTAAAACCTCCTGCTCTGCTTCAGTTTCTCGCCCAGATAGATGACCACCAGCAATAGTGCTCAAAGACTGGACTATAGATAGATGACCACCAGCAGCAGCAAGATGTAGAGGATGATCATTGTTGTAGTTTTTGCTCTTGAAAAGGTCTGGGCAGCAACTTTGGATATGTTCCGCTAGATGGTGATGGCCTAGTCTTGCGGCGATATGAAGAATCGTGTCGTCTCGCGGGGTGAGTTGGTTGAGAAGATTGAGTTCGGGGTCTTGTTGTAGTGCTGTTGTCAGGCCATCGATGTCTCCAGCTATAGCTGCCCTGTATATTGCAGCTTCCATAGAATTAGAAATCAAGGTATGCTTTCCCCAGTCCATCTCCATCTCCATCTCCTCCTCCTCCTCCTCCTCCTCCTCCTCCTCCTTCTGCATCTCCATCTCAGATCTAATCAAATACACCATTATTGTACCACATTTAATCACATACACCATTATGGTACCCCTTCCAAGCATACGGCTTGCACCTCTCTCTCTCTCTCTCTGTGTGTGTTTGTGTTTGGTTGTCCTCCTTCTATGTTACTGTTTCTGTGTAGTTAATACATACAACTCTCCGCATATATATATATATATATAGGAGGAGGATTACCTATTGTCGGCATACCATATATATATACATGGAGAAGGATCCCCTCCACTCGTAAGACTTGTATATTGGAGAAATTATTCAATACTCTCGGAATATTACGGGACTATATTTCAAATCAATTACCAATTATCTAGTCTCATGTTGTTCTTTCATTCCCAACATAAATTGTGCACCCGTACGCCTCTCCATCAATCAAAATCTTATAGAGCACCACGTGTTTATACTCCGGGAATACTGAATAATCACCCCCTATATAGAGGAGGATTCCCTACCGTCAGCATATCATATATATATATGAAAAAGGATTCCTTTCAGTCGTGGTGTCTACCATAGGTCTCATTTAAGTGATCCGAACCGTTTATTTTATCAGTCACTTCGTATATTTTGTATGAAATATATGAAGCGTCTGATAAAATGAACGGTTGAGATTATCGAAATGGGGCCTATGGTGGGCCTTACGAGCCCAAACAGTGCCCTCCAGTCCAAAATCTAGATTGGAGGATTTCCTCCACATGCTGTTTGCGTCCGTGGGGTCAATACAGTCTTGTTTCAATAATTTAAACAGTTTATTTTGTTCGACATTTCACATATTTCATTCACAAAAAAAATTAAGTCGATCTAATAATTGGAGGGCATTGTTTGGGCCCTTAGGGCCCATCACGGGCCCCATTTTGTGATCCAAATTATTCATTTTTATCCGCTATTTTGTGCATTTCATCTACACAAAAAATTAGGTCAATTCAATAATTATAATTTGTTGAATTTAACGCATTTTTAACAAAAAAATTATGATTTATTTTTAAAAACACATTTTTTGGTTAAAAACGCGATAGATTGAATAAATTAGACTTATCAGATAGATCTTTTTTTTTTTGTGTAGATAAAATACGCAAAGTGCCCAACAAAATGAATGGTTCAAATTATTGAAACGGAACCCATGGGGCCCCATGGATCTAAATAACGCCCTACAGTCTAAAATCTGGACAGAAAAGAATCCTCCTCCTTCCCCTATATACTAGTAATGAATTTTAAGTAGTGTTTAATTATGACACATTGTGATATTGGTTATGATTCAGTTATAACCTATTATGATTTTAATTTTGATTAGGTGTGTTTAATTAATATTAGTTAAGGTACAATAAGTGAGTCACAAGCAACACACAAAAAAACAAAAATATTATTTTTAAATTTTATTCAACAATAAATTTTATTTTTGTCAATAAAAAAATCCAATTCAAGCAATCAATATAAATCAAATTCAGTAACATAGTGAATTTCAACTTAAATTTTCAGTACTTCCTTCATTCACTTGTCAATTTTTTATTTTTTATTTTTTTATTTTTTTGAACTCATCATTCACTTGTCCTTGGCCAATATGAAATCAATAATATTGTAATCAAGTTTTCAGTACTTCTCGCTTCACCTTGGCCAATATGAAATCAAGCACGTTGTAATAAACTAACTACGTGAATACATATCAATATAAATAAAATTTTATATAATGGCTTCGTTTGGGAAGTGGCTATTTTAGTAGGCCTAAACTATACTATTTTTTTTCTTCCCAAACACCCCTAATATATATATAGATAGATAGATTTGATTCTCACGTTAATATACTAACTCAATTCTATTGAGTTGACAATTTAGAAATTAATGTACTCAAAAATCAAATTAACCCAACTCAAAAAAGATCGATTCATCTTGTGGAATTACTGAATATTTTGTGCACCCTAATATGACGTTCCCTTTATTCTTATCTTTTAAAAATTGTCAATTAATATTAACCCACTCTCACTCTTTTACTAAAGCTGAAATTCATTACTTTTTCTAATCAATATAAAATTATATTTAAATTGGATTCCTTCTTGTCCGTGATTTGAATCGCAAGTTGTTGTTGGAACTTACGAGAGTCGTCACGATTCTCGTTTTCAGTAATCCAAATTGTTGATTTTGTCAGATCTTTCTCAAGAAAATTGGATTGATCATATATTCATAGCCTATTCAATTTATCATGATTGTTATCCAAAAATTAGATAGTCTATTTTTAAAAACACACTTGTTATCTATTTTCTTGATGACAAATGCAATAAATTAAATAAATTCTGATTATTAGAACGACCTATTTAATTTTTTAGATGACATCCGTGAATGACCTAACAAAATGAACGATCCGAATAATCAAACGAGACTTGTGATGGGTCCTGTGAACTCAAACAACACCCCTAGTTCATGATTAAATTGAAGAGAAGCCAAGTCAAATTGTACAATACCAAAGGTATATTTTTCTGGGTTATGCTACTTAAGCTAAAAAATTAGACTTATTTTTCAAACTCAATGATGTGACAGTCTATTAGAATATCCAAGGCAACTCTCTCCCTCGACTCAAACTTGGGCTCGGGCCAGTCCATGTCAGGCCTCACAGGTTCTTGCCAAAATTCGGGTCGGTCCACACGTCAGAAAATTAAACCCATGGGGTATTCAGGCCTTGCGTAGGCCGCCGAGTCGGTAGGCTTGGGCTCAGGCTTAGGCAGGGCTTGAACATTTTGTTTCTATTTTTTTCACCAAAATTTTGCTCTTTTCTACCAAAAATGACACTAGGCCTCAGGCGGATCGGGCCGTACAAGGCCTCGGCCAAGCTTTGAGTGGGCCTTGAGTGGGTCACAGGCTGGGTCGGGTTTCAAAATAATGGCCCAAGCCCAGGCCCAGGCTATAACACCCTCAAAATAATACAACTAATCCTTCCCATGAGATTTAGGAATATGATAGAAATGATACACTTTCACTCATCAGAGTTCGTGTTACAGAAAGGACTGCATGCATTACATTCATAAACGTTCATTCTGAATCTACAACATGTAATACAAGTTAATTACAACAAAATAAATACCCTAAGGGCTTACATTTTTCCAAGACAAGACTTGGTTAAAAGAAAAGAGAGTTATAAGCTCTATACATGTAAAGCCCTCGGCTTGAGCAAGCATTTAAATACAAAAATAATACAAAACGGAGCCTTCAGCTCTTGAGTCCTCCTAAGCTATGTCCTTGGAGGAAGCATATCACCAGCTCCTGAAAATGATTTCCCAAGTAGGGTGAGCCAAAGCCCAGTAGAGATATACTAACACAATAAATGAGGTTTAAATAAGATATTAGTGTCAAATATAAACATGTTCAATACTCATGACCAATTCACATTCCTTCCATGACCATTCGGTACCAATACTCATATCTCATTCCATTCCCATACATTCATTTCAAATTAGTACATTTGGTTTCAATTCATAGATCAAATTTATATTTTTCAATTAATCCAACTGAGACTACAACTCAGTGATTCCTAATCAACATAACTACTATACAAGTACTTCAACCTTGCTATTTTACGAAAATTTTGTTCGCGGGATTGGCACCCATGTATACATATAATTTCGGAACTTTCACCATGGACACTCCGACCAACTTAATTTTCAATGGAGTCCATCCCCTATCTCCTCTCAAGACATGGAGTACATCTCTTTTCTCCTCCCAACACATCATACATATACAATGTATTTAAAATATACCATTACATTCAATGACATGATTAAATGATTAGTTTAAATTTACTTAATCCTCATGCAATTTTTACAACAATCATAGCTATCCTCCACCGATAGCCAAGACAGATATTTCTAAATAGATATACAATCTTTAAAACACATAATTCCTTTCCTCAAATTTCCATAGGTGAGTGATTCAATAAAATCCAACTACACCATTTATACATACATCCTCTCAATTTCACATATTTCATACCAATTTCATCATTTATACGAAATAATTATTCAATACAATTTAGGGCAAACTTTTCCCTTTTTCCAGATATCAACCCCAAAGCCAAATTTCACCATTTTAACTCAGGTAACCTCTTATGCAATACCCTATATATATTTATGGAGCCCAATGTTGAAAACCCCTCTTTCAAATTTCAAACCCAAACCCTAACTTCACCCAAATCCTTCTAAGTTCCACCATTTATGCAAAATGATAAATGCCTAGGTTAAAAACCATATTAAGGTGTAGAGTATTCCTACCTCGAAGAAAGAAGATGAGCCAAGTAAGGATGGGACTTCAAAAGTGACGAAACCAACTTCTACTCAGATCAAAGTGAAGAGCTCGAGGAGTTCTACTTTTTTAATGAAGGCACAAGGGTGTAGAAATCAAAGGGTCTAGGTCAAAATGTAGAGAGAATGTGAGTTTTAGAGAGAGAGACTCTCAACTTAGGGTTTTGAGTGAATATGTATGAAAAAGTGATGTAAAAAATGCTTTTCGTGTTCTGATATACGCGCAGTACGCTCGAGCACAGAGTTTGACGCTTGAGCGTCAGACACAAACTTTTGTTTTGCTCAAGCGCAGAATGCACACCTCCAGAACTTTTGCAGACAACAGACCAACTTCTCGAGCTCAAGAAGGGACACTCGAGCGCCTACCCGCTCGAGCATAGGAAACACCGCTCAAGTGTGAAAGACACTCCTTCAGCACTTTGCAAACGTGCAAAGTACTGAGGGTTTGCAACTCCCGCTTAAGCGCAAGAGAGTACGCTCGAACGGAGGACCAAAAGTACATAGCCCGCTCGAGTGCAAGAATGGCCGCTCGAGAGTAAGACCAAAAATCTTGGCAACACAAAGTTTGAAAACTAACTAACATGTTCCAAACACAATCACAATAAACCAAAGACCAATTTCAAAGGAATACAAGGGAAGAAAGAGATAGACAACAATATGAAAGCATTGAACCCGAGCCCAGAACATCACAAGAGTCGGGAGAAAACCCGGGATT